CTGAGCTGAGCTGAGCTGAGCTGAGCTGAGCTGAGCTGAGCTGAGCTGAGCTGAGCTGAGCACTTCCTGGTGATATGACTATCAGGTTCTTAAGATCAGGAGGGATTGATTGGGGTTGGTCTGACCAATGGACAACTGCTCCTTTTTAGTGAATAGTCCTTCCATGCCCACCCAACCCAAGCCATATCTTGTCCCAATTGCTAAGGATTTGAGACCCCTCCTTAACTAAGTTGCCCAAAGACATTTATGCATACTACTAAGTGGCATTTTTTTTGGCCCAGTACTATATTTAAGATAGCAGGTTAGAGAACAGTGATGGCAGGATCATAAACTGAATTAGATGTTCAACAGACTTTCAAAAATACTTACTCATTTTGTAGTGGAAATAGTTTTTCCTCTATCAATGCAAATACAGAGCCTCCAATCATGAAATCCTCCAAATTCTGGCAGTGTTGTACACAATAGACCAGGATCATCAGCTCCATAATTGAGTGGCATTTATAATCTATTGCAGTCACATCATACAACGCATTTTTTACAAAATTGTCATCTTGTGTCTCATATAAATAATGAAATATTCCTTCCTCTAGACAGGAACGAATTCCCCTTTTTTTAATGTTATTTTTCACCCAGTCTAATAAGAACTCTTTATTCTTAGGAGAAATTTTCCATCCAAATTCTTGTTTTAACCGTGTCATTCTTTTTTCTTCACTTAAAAAACCAAAGAGGAAGCGAACTGTCACTGTTAAATCAATCCTGTCATGTAGAGCCTGTTCTAATAGCGTCTGCAAATTTTCATTAAGATTTTCAGAATGCTGCTCCTCTCCCTCTTCGAGAACATAAAACAAAGCAGCAAAAAACTCCTGGAAGCTTAAGTGAATGAAGCTGTAGGTTTGAATACAATCAATGTCCCTTTGAAAGATGCTCTCATTCAGAAAGAGGGGGAGGGAATCTTCCTGATTTAAACAGTGCTTCTTGACATCTTCTTCCGTAAAGAGTATTTCCTGTTTCCAGAGTCCTTCTGCAGCCAAAGAGCACAAGCCTTTCACATTTATTCGGACATCCTGCTTGGATTCTTTATGGTGAAACTTTAACAAACTGGAGAGATACAGCATATAGACTGCAGTGAGGGTGTAGGGTGTCTTCTGGAGATCCTTGCCTCTCTCCATCTCTTGTTTCATCACAGTGCAGACAATCCAACACACAAGGGGAATTACGCACAGGGTAAAAAGGGTATCATTTTGTTTTACAAGTCCAAAAGCTAGCTTTGCTTGTTCTTCATCCTGAAAGAATCTGTGGAAGAAGTCCACCCTGTCCTCCACTGAAAATCCCAAAATCTCAGCACAACGCGAGCACTCCAAGCAACGACTGAGAGGCTCTAAAGCTGTGGGTCTTGTTGTGATTAGGAGGTAGGATTCAGGAAGAAGCTTTTTTTTAAATAAACTGCTCAGAAGGATTCTCACTGGCTCCTTCTTCCAAGGGTCAGTACAAAGCTGGGCTTCAGGCTGATCAAATGAAAATCTTAA